TAGCAAAAGAATGGCTGACTACAAAATGTTTGCTCACTTCCCAGTGGTGTGTGTGTGTGCGTGCATGCGTGTGTGTTTCTATACGTGTGACTGATTCCAGGGTATCCTCATCCAGCTTATCCTGTTCCATTTCCAACACTTGGATAGCAAGTGTTCTAAACTTTTCATTTAGAAGATACCATGACTGTGTAGGAGTGAATATTCCCTTCCTGATGCTGACCATCTTTTTATATGTAGACGAGCATTTGACTTCCGCAGGAAAGTTTCCCGGGAAAGCGGCTTTCTTGCATGTTGCTGTGTTGTGTTTATTTTTGTCAAGGTGTGTGTTTTCTTTGAAAGACACTGAGAACAATGAATTTCACTCTGGTGCCCTCTAGTGCTGGATGAGGTCAGATTCCCTTTCCGCATTTGCCCGTAAGGACCACACAAGAGAATTACAATGTGGAGGAGCAAAGCTTTGCTAAATTCCCTAACTTCCTTGGCAGGAAGTGGAACGAAGTGTGCTCCCACAGGGTGACTCAGAAGACCCTTTGGGATCTGCCCCTCCTGGATTGTCTGCTGTCTCTTTTGCCGTTTTTTCCCATGAACATCTGACTTCGTGTTGCATGACTTGCTGTCCTGCCCATCTTCCGCCCCCATTCCCAGTGTATGTTTGAAGAATGTCTCTTGTTCCTCCTAATGCCAGCTGAAGTCTTCCCTCTCCTCTGGGCTTCCTGACTTCTCAGAAGATTTGAGTGGTCTCCTCCCTCCTCTTCTTGTCCTTTAAACATGTCCCCACATGTCTGTCACTTTTCTACCCCCACCCTGCCTCTTGAAGTTGAGGTCAAAGCAAAATCCTTTTGTAAAGCATGTTGGTGCCTTTGACCTCGGACACAGTTAAATACCCCATGGCAGGATTCTGGTAGGGCTGCCTTGGCACTGGGAAGAGCCCTAGGACACTTCTGGCTCATCAACTTGCTGGGTGAACACGAGGAATTGGCCTGCTCTCTCTAGATCTGCCCTTCTTATCTAGTAGACTATGTCTAATATCTTGTTCAAAAACCCAACGTTTTCATCTGTATCTCCTCTGAAAGCCTCAAAATGCTTTCTAATACAGCAAGTCAATATTCCAGATGCTTTCTTTTAATTCTCAAAGATCTCCCTTTAAAGGAAAAATTCAATTGCATTGAAAGCTATTTTATTTGCCTGATACACAACAACAACAGCAACAAAAAAACCTTATCAGACGATACAGAAATTTAAATGAAGCTAGCTTGAGACATGAGCTTTCAGACAAGCCCACCTCACTCTTCCAAAATGTCCAAAGGTTCAAATCACACCTGAAGTTCTATGTATTGCTCTAACTGCTCAACTCACTTCCAAGCTGCCCCACTTCTGATTTCCCAGCTTACAGGAAGTGGGGTTTGCTGAAAACATCACCTGTGGAAGCCCTGACACAGTGAAGGTCTTTGATGAAGATGCTGCAAATCTTGGACGCACCGGGCTTAGCTGTAAGGCACATGGACACAACTGACAAAGGCTTCTCCACTTAGTCCCCGCATTGGTCAGCCATTGCTCCCCAGGTACCGCTCCAGATAACACTGAAAGCCTCACAGTACCAAGTATAACATCTAAACAGTGTATATTGCTTTCGCAGGTATTCCATTTTATATCTGATATTTTCTTAGGATGCTCACTCCTTACATCCCTTTCTAAACAAAATATTATGTTAAACCAAAGCAGACTCACTAGATAGGTACAGATAGAAGTTAAGTATTTCAAAGTTCCTGTATAGAAATTCACTACTATTGGATCCTTGTTAAAATCTAGGTAATCCAGGCCAGCGTGTGGCACAGGGGTCAGGCCACCGTCGGTGATATTGACATCCTCTATGGATGCCAGTGTGTCCATGTTGCTCCACTTCTGATCCTGCTCCCTGCGAATGAATGGGAAAAGCAGCACAAGACGGTACAAGTGTTCAGGCCCTGCCACCCACGTGGACAACACTGACAATACTGAACCAGCAGGTACAAGGCCTCTCTCCTCGAAAAAGAGGAAAGTAGAATAAAATACCCTTCCCCAAAAAAGATCCAGGAAATTCAGAAGCTTAGACACACACACAGTTAACTCATGTATTGCATTTTTCACATCCTCACACCCGTACCATGACTGTGTAAACCGCATATGGAGAGGAGCTGGAAGACATCTCATAGAATCATGACCGGAAGTGGTAATTGGATTATATGAGGCATGAGTAAATTCTGTTTTCTGGCACCACAAACATAAAATCTGGTTTGCAAGTGTGTGAATGAAACTTCATCCAGTGGAGAGAAGACAGATTAGTAACAAAAATGAAAGGAGTGCTGACTGCCAAATGGAGCTTAACACTTGTATTTTTTAAGCGCCATTTTTTTTGCTTGCAATTGCAAGGTTAATAAATCTGTGGACAATAACGGTGATGCTCCAAATATCATTCTCCTATCATGCAAGAGATCCAGTGTAACCAGGCAGAGGACAAGCAGGTCAGGACAGAATACTAAAACACCATGTCACACCAAAGAAGAGATTTGATTGGCCAGCTTCCCCACTCTTCCAAATACACTTGTGAATAAGTTTTAAAAGCTACTGGTCTATTACTCCTTTGCAAAACCACTCTGTTCTATTTCTTCTATCACATTGTCATTCAGTAGTACTGGATCAGATTAAGGGAAAATATACTTGACCTGTCCTTGCTACCCTTCCCCGTAATAAAATCCATGACAATGCATCGAAGAACCCAGCATGCTGCCCTGGCTCTTAAATAAACACAAGGGTGGATTTCAACAAAATTCTTGGAAAATACACATTATGGGAAAAAAAATACCACTATGAATGGATTTCAAAAAATTTTGCACCAAAATAAATTTATCTTTTAATGCCACTTTTCCACAAACTCTTGAAAGCACCCCTTGAACACGAAATTGTGCTTGTTAAACAGCTAGAAATTAGAAAAATATTAATATTGAGTGAAGACTTTCAAAGACATTCCTTTCTGTCTCCAGAACATAAACACACCTCCTATGGGTTAGCCTCCGTCTCTGTGTCAAAAGCACAAGAAAGCGGTTCTCTGCTGGACGTCAGCACACCATTGGCACCGTGTCCTCAAACCCTTCCTGACTCTTCCACGGAGCCGGTGGATGCCTTGCCACAAAGCACTCCTCTCTTTCTCAATGCCCAAAGCCAACGCAGACAGCAGCGGGCTGTGCCTCTATCTCACCTTTTTGCCTTCTTTTCTCAGCGCCCCTGCGCACTTGGCTGGCCTCAGCTAGGGCCATGTGCCCCATCTTTTTATCACCCCACAGTATAAGGAAATCTCTAATACTGTGGTTACTTCTCAGAGCTCCCAGACCTGGCGAGTGCACTCAGCTGTTCTATTTTTGGTTACTTTGTTTTCTTCTCGGAAGAGCCCGATTCCGGTCTATGTCTTGGGCACTCTGCCACGGACACATTGCTCCACCCCACAAGCTCTCTCCCCAAGTCGTCAACTTTGAATGTCACCCCAAAGGTTGTACACAGAGAACATGTGATGTGGTGAGCAGCTGACAGGTGTGTTGCTGTGGTCTGACACTTGAGCGGGACAGCAGCTAGACTTCAGGAATCAGGGTTGGTGAGTACTCTGTGTGTACAATGGTCGCAGCCACCCACACTCGCATAAAGCTCCCTGTACCGAAAACCCCTACTTCCTGGAGGCAGAAACATGCCCAGGCATTTGCCAGGACTGCTCATCTCTTCCTGGCTTAATCACAAGTGTCCAGTTTCTGACCTAGTCATCAAAAATGATACTTCCTATTATACTCTCTGACCTTTGCCAGGGAGATCATTTTCAGACCCAGAGGAACGAGCTAGGGAAATGAGAAGTTCTAGACTAAATTTGGGTTTATTTTTAGTGACATCTCCTACTGAGGAGGTGTCCTAAAGAGCATCCCTAAAGACCTACCATGTTGGTGTACCTGAAAAACTAACAAAAACGCAGAGAGAGAAGACAGGGGAAAATGCAAGAAAAGAATATCACAATAAAGTGAGAAAATACCAGAAAAAGTGATTTCTGACTAAATATAAGGTGATGTCTTTGTGAGCGGTCAAGACAGGTTTGCAGCTGATTAAATTATTGGGGTGCATGTGTGGGCATGCACACACACCAATGCCTTTGAAGTGCAAAGGTGGCTGTAGACATTTGGCATAGCGATTAAGACATGGTGGGAACACCAAAACCTACGTCTGAGAGCCTGGGGTTCCAGTTGGGATTCTGTACCTGATTCCAACATCCTGCTAAAGTGCATCCCGGGAAGAACAGGTGAAGGACGGCTCAAGCAGTTGGGTCCCTGCTGTCCGTGTGGGCTACGTTGGATGACTGCTGACTGCTCGCCTTTGGCATAACCCAGTACCACATATTGAGGTTTTTTGTTGATTTGTGTGTGTGTGTGTGTGTGTGTGTGTGTGTGTGTGTGTGTGTGTGTGTGTGAAATGAACTAGTAGGTGAGAAATCTCTCTCTTCATTTGAAACAAAAGGTAAATGATTTTTTAATAGAAGGTCAGCTATTTCAAACAACTTCATATCGATACTTTCAACCTTATTTACAAAGCAAATCTGCCTGAGTGTTCCTGAAATTGACGAATCAATCTCTTTCCTCCTTTTTTAGATCAATTGTCTGCTCACACATATCACTAGAAGCATTGATAGATGAAGCATCAGTGACCCCAGTCTTCAAAGTGGTGGCCCCTAAGGGAAGACAAGGGTTCTTGTATTGCAGAGACAAAAGAAAAAGAAATCTAGAATCAGTTCCCTTGCCCTACATCTGCTCTGCCACACCACTGCCACCACATCACAAAAAGAAGGAAGCAAAGGAGAGACAGAAGGATGTTTGACCAAGCTCTATGAAAACATTCGGCTATTTTGGCATCAGCTTATTTCCGAGTGACTGCAGCTGTTGCAGCTGCTCTGAGCACGAGCTAGAGGGCAAGAGCCCAGTGGAGCATCTTACCTGAGAAGCACGGAAGTGCTGGCAGACGTAGGTGAGGCACAGGAGCAGCCCCAGTCCCTGAATTATGGAGGCCACCAGCAATAGCTTGCTCCTTTCAAACCTTGGCCTTGGTGTGTTCCCCACATTCTCTTCTAGGGGTTGGACCCCTTCCATCTTCACAATCTGGATTCAGGGCCGACACAGATGTTGCAAAGGGAGACAGGGAGGAGATGGAGACAAGACACAGCTTATCACTTAGACAATAGGCAGAGGGCCCAGGACCAGAGATAAAGGGCGACTGAAAGAGCCCAGCAGAGCCTCTCCGTTTTAACTCTGCAGTTCTGCAGGCAGGCGGGGGAACTTCTCTGTGACTAATCTGAATTTCCCCTTTACTTTCTTTCTTTTTTTTTTTTTTCCTCTGGGCTAACAGGGAGTTGTTTTTGTGGCATTCCAGTTCTGATTTGAGTGACTGTGAAATGACAGTCATAAAAGTGTGCTATTTTCTTAATTTCTCATTGCATCAGTAACCAAATTGTGGGTCACTTGCCAAAGCTGCAGCTCATCGCTGATTTCATCCGCTGATGCAGGAGCTCACAGATCCCTTCCTCACACTGTCTCCATCACAAAGCAGACAAGGGAAGTGCTGCCCTTGAACACTGCCCTTCATTATGTAACTAAACATTGAATCCATTCTACAGCTTCAGATATAAAACACACAAAGACCATTCTTGAAATGAAAGGCAAAACAAGAAAACAGGATCACATGGAAGTAAGAGAGCAAGGTCCTCTAGTTATATAATCCCTCACATAAAAAAATAAGATAGCATTAACTAGTAATAGTTGTTCACAAATGAGATAATATATAGCAATCTCTTACGCATCTATTGTGTGTCAGAAAGCATATTGGAAACCCTTATAACACTTTATCTATGTAAGCCTTTAAGATAAATTCAGCAATTTCATGATCGATTTTCTGCATAGCAGACAAGAACAATTTTAAAAAGATTTTTTCTCCCTTCTATATATTTTCCTATACTTAATTTTGCATAAAAAATAATTAAATATATTTAACTAATTCTTGAAAGTTATTCCTTACTGGACTCAGGATAGTCTACCAAGAAGGGGCATTTGGCCTAGGAGTTAAGTCACTAAGATAGCCAAGTCTCACATCCCACACAACTCCTGAATCCGGCTTCCTACGCCACCTGCGCTGGGAGACAGCAAGGATGGGTCCAGGCTTGTGTCCCCGCTGCTGCAATGAGACCTCACTTGAGGTCTCAGCCCTGGCGTTGGCACCCTGGCCATCACAGTCATTTAGCGAGTGAACTGAACAAACAAGTGAACTGAAAACAAGAAATTATTGATCACATCAGGTTCAACTTGGCACATATTTACTGAGTACATAATATAAGCCCAGATAACACTAGATACAGACATGCTAGACAAGCTGGTTTTAGACAGAATTATGTCTCAGAACTTCCCATAAGGCAGTCAATAGATACTTATAGAAAAAAGAAAGTTAGAAATATTTTGGCTATCATAAATATGAGATGGTATATCCAACTTTACTTCACAGAAAATTAATATGAGGCATATTCAAAAGAGGAACAGTTTATAGGAAATGGAAAGGACGTTTATTGCAGTGTTGATTAAAATATGAATTAATACCATCTTTATGGGCATCACGCCTTGCATTTGAAGAATATATTGGTCTTCAGAAGTTTGAATTTTCATCTGAAAAGTAAGACAGCAAAGCATCACATTTAAACTAGCAGACAAAACTAGAAATCGAGTCAGTTCTTCCCAAGCATATCTGAAATAATTACTCCCATGAGCAAAACATGTATAACCTACAGGATGTGGAGAAAAATACTAAAAGAAAAATCAGCAAGGCCCAATTCTTGTGTAACAGTTAATAGACAAATGAGACCCTAACGTCAGTAACTATTTACTCATCTCTTCTCAGTAGATGAGTAAAACGGTGGCAGCAAAACCCTCAGATACGACTGGAAACTGGAGAAAAGCAAGAAAAGAAACAGGGAAAACCATTCATGCTGAAAAGCATAGAGAATATTTTAAAGCAACTGTTAAAAGGCCTAAAAACAAGCATTCACCACACACATAATTGTACCACTTCAAGTAGGAATTTTTTCTGGATGTTAAAAACATAGCTTTTATGAAAAAACACTGAGAGTTGCTGTTTTTCCTTATGGATAACAAGATGTATACAGCACAATGAAGTTCCACTGTTGCGTTGTCCCAAGAAAGCATCCGCCTAACTGCACCGACACCGAGGTCTGTCTGGACATGCCTTTCCTCCCCCTGGTCTCGGGGTCCCGGCCTCCACTGCCACATACTACTTAGCAATTGTTCTTGTTGTAGTTTAAGTGATTTCTTACATTTTGGGGTTTTTTTTAATTGAACACATACAATTTCTTCACATTTTTTATGGGAACAGAGAACTTCGCACACACAGAAACTGGATTGAAATTTCAGGGTGAGATCATTGGATAAATTATGTAAGCACTTCCAAGTTTATCATGGGGCTGATCTAGTATTTAGACAAATGAAGCCAGGGTAAGAGCCATCACTGCTGGGGCCCAGAATTGTGGCACAGTGGGGTAGCTGGCACTTGCAATACCTGTGTTCCATGTCTGAGTGCTTGTCCAAGCCAGGCTGATTCACTTCCATTCCAGCCCCCTGCTAAAGCAGGAGGGCCGGCAGAAGCAGCCCAAGCAGATGGGGCCCTGCCACCGCTGGGGGAGGCCAGTGTCATCCAGATGCCTGCCTTCAGATGGACCAGTCCCAGGCTCTGTGGTCATTTAGAGAGTGAAAGAGTAAATGAAATCTCTCACTCTCTTCTTCCCCTTCTGTGTGCCACTCTGTGTGACATATGCAAATGAGCTCATCTTAGAAACACAGAGAAAGAAAGAGAATAAACTCATTCATGGCATTTTAGTCTCGGGCAGGTAAACAGAGGCTCCCATCTTGAAAATGAATCCCCAAATAATTGAGGTGTTTTTAAGAAGAATATTTTTACTGAATCTATGGACAATTGTTTTTTAACACCTCCCACAACAACCAAGTTCCCAGAAACCCTGGAATACAAAAGCCTTGGAATGAAGTCTCAGAAAACACAGTCCCCCAACAGCCACCTCTTCCCACTGGTCTCCTAAATTTGGCAGCTGCTTCAATACCACACAGAAGAGCATGAAAAGCAAAACAACCCCAAAAGCTGGCAGAAGAGCTCATGTTCAGAAAGCAGCAAAAACTTCTGGGCTATTTTTTGATTTGGGGGTTTCACTGTTTTTTGTTTTGGGGATTTTTTTTTTTGGTGTTTTGGTGCTTTGATTTTGGGGGGTTTTTTGTTTGTTTATTTGTTTGCTTCTTAGTAAAATCTGCAATTTTCATGTGTCTTGAGGTCAAGTTGGCAATTGTCCATGCCACAGCTTGGTGCCTTTATGCTGAAAACACATGAAATCCAGTGGCATGGCCCACCTAGTGTTTTTACTTGTCGGGACTTCAAACTTTGCAGCACTTTGGACTGGCTCTGTCTCCAGCCGAGCTCTGTAGGACTCTGGGCAGTGAAGTACACTTTCCTCCTGCCAGCATCCTCACAGCTTCTGTCCGCACTTGGCTTCCAACTCTTCTCCCTGCTGGGATCCGCTCAGCTCCTAAAACAGCGCAATGAGGATCTCCTCCAAGGCTTCATCTTGTCAAGTTACTCCGGGCTGCGGTCCCAAGTTTCGTCTTCAGGCTTATCAACCTGCATGTGCTCATCGCTTCTGACACACACACTACCTAAAACTCTCGGACCATCACAACACTAATACATGTTTGCCTGTGAGAGGCTGGCTTATGACATAGTAATCTTGCAAGATTCAAGAAGAAACTAACCAAAAATTTCAAAGAAATAACTGTTCAGAAAACCTGGGGTTGGTAGGATCAGTGATTCTCAAAGGCAACTTCATCATCAACATCACTCAGTGAGCTTTCTACAGATTCCAGTTCCTTAACGTGATGCATTCTGGGTTGGTGGGTTTAAAGTGGACTATTGCAAAGGTTTATTTTGAAAAGATACTGTGAAAGCTAAATTTGTCAGTCTCCACAAATAACTACTTGAGCTTCCGCTTGTCATGACACCGCTGTGATAGGAAACCTTCCTTGGGCCTCTGGAAAGAGCACAGCCCCCATCACCTGGGTGATAAGAGCTTCTGTCATGCTCTGATTTGTCTACAGCCACAGAAATCCATTCTAGGCTCCCCAGAGATGCTGCGTGTTACCAAAGGGAGTGGGCCTACATTGAACATTCAAAGGGTAATCCATAAAGAATTGCCAGATTCAATTTGCATGCAATACATTACCAGAAGATAAGGAAGATAAGGAAAACAGAAGATAAGGAAAACAGTGGTGTTTATTACAGAAATCTAATGGTATCTGGAATTTGACCTTAGACTTGGAAGGTTAGTAAATCTGAAATGCGTACTTGTCAGCGAAACCAGATGTACTCCGTTAGTAAACACATAATTGTGAACTTGTAAAATGACGTTCACTTGGGTTTCAGGTTCAGCCCCTCACTTGTCAACCACTTGTCTTCAATCTTCACCTTGCCTGCTATTGTAATGGTTTAGTTGACCACTGACAGTTGTTTTAGAGCATGATAATAGATACTAAATCTTAGTGGCACAAAACAGCCATAGAAACCTCCCCACTACACTGTGCAAACCGGAGGGTCATTCATTCAGTCTAACTGGGATTTGGTATCCAAAATTCAAATCTCCCTGCAGCCCACCTTGCACTTTCTCGGCCTCTAGAAGTCACCATTCTTTGTTCAGATCAGGGTTCTGGTTTGGGTTTGTTTCCTTTTTAACTTCTGTATATGAGGGGGTATATTTGGTTTGTCTTTCTATGTCACTCTTATTTCTATCAACATAGCATCTTCTGTTTCATCCATTCTGTGGCAAATAACAAGATTTCATTATTTTATGGCTGAATGTTATTTTCTTGCATGTATCAGCCACATTTTTGCTTTCCTGTCATCTGATTATGGACCCCTTGGCTGACTTTGCACCTGCCTCTTGGGAACACCACTACCACCTCGCCACAGACACACACAAACAAGAATGATCGTGTTAAAATGTGGAGATGCCTGAGGTTGAGAAACTTCAGTATGG